ACACCCCAGCCTCCAAAAGCGCTGAGATCTTTTGCGGCCCGCCACGAGTTTTCCTTCCTGATGGAGGCGTGTTCTATCCACAATTTTCCTTTGGGCGGATGTCGCGGGCCATCGGCTGCCCCACCATACCTTTCCCCCCTGGGTGGGGTTTTGCTGCTTGTACGCGCATGCATGAGTTTCGGCCTATTGCCGCTGAGACGCCTCGAGGCGCACGTTGTGAAGAAACAGAAAACAGAGTCGAGGACGTATAGGGTTACTAACAACGAAACAATGGATAGAAAAGGGCGTCATGGAGAACCCTCTCTTTCAATTTGATAGAGGATCCTGTTGGTCCGACAAAAAAGGCAACGCTCCCTCAAGGTGCGCTGACGGCGAAGCACATTTCGCCCATGCCGCCCAAGCAGGTAGGCGACGTCGCGCCGCCACCACCCGAGGCCAAGAGCCTGCGGGCAACTGCCTGCGCTGTTCGGATTGCACCTGGGAGGGAGGCAGACGCCGTGCCTCTGGTGACTTGCGCCGGCTCCAGGGCGACTGCGGCGAGCGGAAGGCCGCCCCCCAGTACGGAGGATCCCAAGTTTTTCTTCCAGGACACGTTGCAAGCCGACCTGATTATTTGGGTGCTTCGTCCATTTTTTGTCAAGGTTCCCAAAGGTCGACCATTGACTTTCAAGTTTGGGAGGACCAGAAGACGCCGAAGCTGCCCGTGCTGGCACTGCCCACTGCAGCCGGGGCGCTGGTGCCAGGTCAGGAGCCCAAGTGGCTTGAGGAGCGCTGGAGCCGGGGCACGCTCTGTGAGGACGCCCGAACCCAACCCCAAGAGTCTAAACCAACCCGCAACCAGACTAAACAGACCCTAAACCAACCTACAGCACACGAGGACGCGTTCAAGCTTCGCGACTCCCACAAGGACAAGGACTACTACCCGGTCTACGACGACGCCTCCAGCACTGCGAGCGTGGCCAGTTCCACCTTCGTCGAGTGCCAGGAAGACTAGACCAAGTAAGGAAACAAACGACCATGTCAAGTCAAGTGCGAGTCGGGGAACGACCGTGTCGGGAAACAACTAGAGGCGTGCCAGGAAGCCAAGTGGTAGAGATCTCTGGTTTGGTGGCTCCGTTTAGCGGCGGGTAGGTTTGGGGTTGAGTTAGGCTTAAGGCCTTGGGGTTTGGTGCAAGGCTTGGTTTGGGTTCGGGGTTTCCCGTCCAGGCAGACCCCTACGAGGTGCACCAGCTCCCGGGTCTCCGGGTGTACGCGTGTTTATTGGGCGCCAGCACGCAACCGTTGAAGATGAGGGACGTGTTGGCGTCCCGTGCGGCCTTTGAGAAGCTGCAGAAGGTGGGATAGGTGTCAAAAAGAAGATATCAAGGCATCATTCACAAACTAATGCATCAAGAAAAAAACAACTTATTGGCAGGGGGGAAGGGAGGAAGCACCCGGAAACGACTTTATTTGACTCTACACTCATCCTTAAGCCGCCCTGAAACCCACCCTGAACCCACCGTAAACCAATTTCAATCCAACCCTAAACAACCAACCCTAAACCGGCCCACCTTAAACCATCCCCAACAAACCCCAAACAAAATAACCCTATCCATGCCCAACAAGTGTTGTTTTTTGTTGATGCCGCTGTTTCCAGTCGTTTTGCTTTGTTTTGAGACCAGTTGCTTTTTGCACGTTTTTGTGGTTTTGTCTGGTTCCGGAGATGAGACGGAGGACTCCTTCAGCATCAACCTCGCGGAGTTGGGCGCAGGCACTCCAGTATCCGTTTCGGACGGACATTTGAAGGCGGTGTACCAGCAACTGGGAGGCATGGCTTGCCGTTCGGATGAAACCAGCAGCCCTAGTCGGGTCGAAATCCTTAGGGCTTGAAGAGGCAAACCGTGCAGGAGATGTGAGCAATCCTGGCCAGCCCGGCGCGGACTTCCGGATCTTCTTGCTGGTCCTCATCGGCCTCGCCCGCTTTGGGAAGACGCCGGCCATCATGAAGATCGCGGGCGAGGACGAGCCGCAGAGGCAGGCGCGGAAGCGCCTGACCATGGCCATCAGGGTGCTTTGTGATAGGGACGACAGGGACCTCACGCAAGAGGAGCTCTCCTTATTGATCCTCAGCCTGCACTTGGCCGCCATCGACAACTCCGCCAAGCTGCAGGAGCTCGTGGCCAAGAAGGTGCAGATCTTGGTGAGCAATCGCCAAGATCCAGAGTTCGCGGAGGGCCTCACAACACAGAAGTTCCCGCGCATGGCTGTGCACGGGGCCGCGGAGCTGGTGTTCCCATCGGTGCATGAGATCGCTGCTCTAAACCTGAGCTTTCCTGACTGCTTTCGGTCGGAGCTGGGGCAAGAGCTTCTGGTCCGCGTGCCCCGCAAGGCGCAGTTCGTCAAGGAGCTGCCCGGCAGCGCGGCCTTCCTGGCGCAGGAGATGCCGGAAGAGTCGGACACGGGCGACACCTTCCCCTACCTCTCCAAGCAGGAGCTGCGCGAGCACGCGGGGTCCGACTTCTTCGACCCGCGGAAGATGATCCACAGCTTCGAGGCGCAGGTGAAGCGGGCCTTGGCCGTGCGGAAGATCCGGGAGGAGAAGAGGCGCACGCGAGTGTGGTCCCCCGAAGAAATCCGAGCCGTCCAAGAGCACATGAAGAACACCCAGGCCAGCTCCCGGGCAGAAAGAATCCCCTTGCCATAAACGGGTGGATCATGTTGCCGGGTATTGATTCTGACGAACCCCCAGGCCGGCGCCTTTGACGAGACGAAGGGCCTGGACAGGACGGAGCCTGTGCCGGAGACCCCCAAGCTGCTGGAGTCGGCGGCAGTCACTGCGACCTTCCGGCGGGTGGAGGCGTCTATGGCACTGAAGGAGCGGACATGGGAAAACCCATCACTTTTTCCGTGGAACCCTCCGACCCGCAAACTCTGGTTGCTAGGAAAAGATTTGGCAAACTGACTGGGTGCCATGTGACCTTTTGCACAATTCCAATTTGGAAAGCAGTTACTTCATCAGATCGGCTCTTCTCCTCTCTTTTTTCCAGCCTCAAAACGGTGAGCCGCCTCTTTTTCCCTTTTTCTGTTGTGTTTCAACTCCCAGGCCAGTGCGGACCATGCGCCAGCCGACAGTGAGCTTCCGGAGCCGCATGCGAGTCCCGTACCGGCTCCCGAGATCAGGGAGGACCCGCCATTTCCGGGGCTTTTGACGACGCGCCGGAAGACGAAGCCCGCATCCGGGCCAAAGAAAGGAGACGTGTCTTCAGCCCGGAGACAGGAGCGGCCGATGGCCAGGCCAAAGACAGCCTGGAGAGATGAGATTTGGGACCGCAAGATGCAGTTCGTCATCTTGGCGCTTTTTCTTTTCCTTATGGCAGCCGTGGCCATCGCCACAGCCAGCATTCCAGTGAAGCTTGTCTTTGAGGCTTTGCTGGCAGTAGGCATGGTCGTCTGCCTTTGTCGCCGCTTCACGCGGGAGAGTGCAAGGGTGGATCACCCGGACACTCCGACAGCCGGAATTGGCAAGCCACTGATCTGCGATGCGGTTTGAGTCTCTCGTCGGCGCTGGCTTTGCTGCTGTGATTCCTTGACCACATGTCCCCGACCTCTCTTAGGTGGTCGCGAGGGCAAAAATGCCAATGTGCTCGATTTATGGGACTTCAGAAAGGCAGTTGTTGAGTCCCTCTGAAATTAGGCGGCCCTTTGCATGGATCCATAAAACAAACGGGTTCCACCTTGGGATTGCAACATCTTTGAGGAACCCCCGTTTGTGAATCCCCCGAGGGGCCGCCGTTTGTTTCACAATCGCAAGACTCCGCGCCGTTGCGCTGAGCGTCTCGCAGGACAGATCACAGTCCTTGGACAAATGGGCGCATAAGAGCTGCCAAGGGCCATTGCCATGTACCCCGAACGGCCCCAAAATCATGCTGATTTATTGCCAGACAGTCTGATGTCCCAGCAAGGTTGGTACAAGCCAGGCGTACATCCTCTCGCAATGTTCTTGTGTAATCCACAAACGGCGGTTCGAGTGGATGGGTTTTGGGGTTCTGAGCTATTCACAGGAGTGGACTACTTGAGCCCTAGGGTCGCACTTTCTCGCCATTTGGATATTTGCCGAACCAGGGATTCTCCCGACATTATTTTCTTTTTTCTTTTGGGCTCCCCTTTTGCAAAGGATACCGATGTTCAAAGGGCCAATCAAAGCTCATGCCTATATAGGCAAGCGTTTGGAGTCGTTCGCAGTACCCCCGCGGTACACGACAGCCCTTCGTCTCAGCCCTTCGTTTCAAGTCTCGAGCCAACTGAGCGCCCGGTGCTGAGCTGGCATATGCGAAAACTGATGCAACATGTCCGAGGGTGCGGAGCCGTACCCTTAGTGATACGGTGGATGCACTAAAAAACATATATAGAAAGTCAAGGAGGCGAACAAGGGACCCCCCTACTTCACCGTAGTTTACCACGGTACCGTTCTGTGGGGTGGGTGTGTTTGGTTTACTTGCATATGTAGGGCATGTGTCGTACCCTGCCCAGGAACACGGAAGCTTCTTGGGACTTGTCTTTGGAAGAGGATTTTTCTTCTTGCAGGCGTAGGGGATCGCTTTCCGTGGACGTCCGCAACCTTATCGCAAGATATCGCACCGTTGTGGGCTTCTCTCATGCGCACCTGAGGACAGAGTGCATAAAAGCTGCGCTGCTAAGCCGCTCAGGGCTATTGCCATGTATCCCCAAAAAACTATATGCAAAACACAAGTTGGCATATAGCCAGACTGATTTCCCAGCAAATTTCCATCCTCTGGCCGCAACTCGCGCGCAGTTTCTTTTTGGCAGAATCAAAGTGGGGTCTTGGGGTTTTAACATATTCAGAAAATGTAGACTGGGGCTTCAAGAACGGCCTGTGCCATAACCCAATCAATCATTTTCCAAACAACCCATTTTTCAGTTGTCCTTTGTTTGCGTTCCCGAAACGCCAAGCTGCAATCACCACCTCCCGCCTCAAAAAAAGGTACGCGCCACGCCCAATCGGCTCAGTGGGCCGGGAGCACGGCCGTGACGCCGCTCTATCCGCGCATCTTCGCCCGGATCTTGGGTTTGGAAATGTGTGTTTTCCAGGGCGCTTGATGTTCAAAATGGTCCCCCGAAAAGTCGCCAACTTCGACCTTTGGATAGGGATTGGCGTGTTTTGCGCAAACCCCCTTTTGGCTTCAAGGCTTATGGGTGTGGCCTTTGTTGAGGGTACCCTTGTTTGGGTGGTTTTATTTGTTAATGTTGAAACGCATGTGGAAACATGAACTGTGTGTGTGGAATGCTTGACCACAATGGCATGTGCCATTTTGGCTAAAGCATTGTTCTGGGTTCCTGGAACCCAAGCTGATTGAAAAACTTTGATCTTTTGCACTCTCGAACATAACCCCGACCAAGCAATGGCTTCCTCGGCAACCTCGGCAACTTCCTTTGAGTTGATTGAGGACCAGACACTCACCGTGGAGGAGGTTGAAATGGCCAGCCAGGAGGCCCAGGAAATTCGCACACGGGAGGCGGCAGTGGCGGCCGGCTTGGTTTTGGACGAGCCCGAGGCTTCCCCGTCAGCTTCGGCGACCGATGTGATGAAGGACCTCTCCAGTGCACTGGAGCGTCTCCGAGTGGCATTTGCCACACCGACTCCCGGCTTGGGTGCCCCTGGCCCCGCCGAGGAGGGCGACGAGGACATGGGGGATGCGGACGGCACGGAGCGGGCCACACCACCGGAGGAGGCGCAGACGCCACCCACTAAGAGACTGAAGGGCTTCGTGGCAGCTTCTCAGAAGGCTACGTCTCAGGCCAACAAACCGGTCACGTTGGTGCCGGTGGACGGCAAACCCGTGTACTTCAAGCTGGTGGACCTCCCAGACCTGTTTCCAGTCCTTCCAGCGTCGGCGGCCACATTGCTTCGAGACATCACGATGGAGGAGGCGGTCTCCCTGTTTCACAAGTTTGTTGGGAAGAACCTCACGGAGGACCTGGTGATCCGCATCTTGGAGGCGTACGTCCCAATGAAGATCCAGCTCCGCCAGGAGGAGGTCTGGGCTTCGCAGTTCCAGAGGAACAAGGCGTGCATCGACACCCAGCGCTTGCACAGGCTCGATGCAGGTCATTCCGACTACAAGTTCATGTGCAAGGCATGCGGAACGGGGTGGCCAGAGGCAGCCAAGCAGTGCTGGGTCTGCCCCGGCAAGGAGTTCGCCCCCTTCCAGGCACCCTTGGCCACCTATGAGGCGGACGGCATCACCTACAACCTGCTCATCTTGGAGGGCAAGCCGACCTGGATCCAGCAGCGGGAATGGGGAAGCCTGGGTGCCGCTGGCCCTGGTGGTAGCCGACCGCAACTTGGTGGACGGCACGGTCTTGGGGAGAGCCCCTCCAAAAACGGACTCGGCGGAGGAGATCACCATGGCAGATGCGGTCCCGCTTAACAGGCGGGTGGACATCCGGCAGGAGATCCTGCCCATGGAGGCGGACGACGAGGCGTTGAAGGTCCGGGAAAGCCAGGAGATCAAGGTCAAAGTGCAGCGGTCCCTGAAGGAGGCGGAGGCTCAGAGCTTTGAGCTCTACCATCCCCAGGTGGACCAGGCGATCAGGAAGAAGGAGGAGCTGCATAAGGCCTTGCGGGAGCATCGGGAACCAACTCGGCTACATGCGGCAGCTGAGGAGGGACCTCCCTCTCAGGGTGCCCCTAGCCCCGAGAAGGAGGTCGCTAAACCTCCACCTGAGGGCTGGCAATGGCCGGAGCCGGGCACCAGGTGGGTGCTGCTCAAGGCGGACGTCACCAAGGCCCACCGGAGAGTGAAGGTCCTCAGAAAGGACTGGCGGTTCCAGGTGGCTTCACTGGGGGAAGAATGGTGGGTGAACAAGGTAGGCACATACGGCATGGCCAGTGCCCAATGCTACTGGGGACGCCTGGCAGCCCTTCTACTCAGGGTCCTCTACGCACTTTTCCCTCAAGTGGATTGGAACTTCGTCTTTGTGGATGACTTCCTGTGGCTGCTTCGCAGCGAGGGGGCAGTAAACTTGGCGGTGGCGCTGTTGGCAACACTCCTGGCCTTGGGCACCCCGCTTAGCTGGAAGAAGACACATTTGGCGGAGGTCAACACGTGGCTGGGCTTCGTGGTCCACCCGAACATCCCTCAGGTTCTCATGGCCGCCAACAAACACATCCTGGTGATGGAGGTCTTGCAGATCATGGTGGAAGGGCAGGCGATGCACTCAAAGGACATCGAGAAGGCCCTGGGCCGCATCCAATGAGCAACTGCTGCATGCCCGCTGGCGAAGTCGATGCTTCAGCCACTGTGGGCCTGGAAAATGGCCACCACCACGGTGGGGAAACCCCCTAAGGTGGTCAGGATGCTGGCGTTCATGCTGCGGTTCCTCTTCAACACGCCCTTCGTCCAGTACTCCCCTTACTTGCCGAAGTCCTCTTGGTGGGGCTGCAGCGATGCTAGCGCCTCGGATGAAGGACTGGCATTTGTGGGAGGCTGGTGCTCCAACAAAGTGGAGCCGGAGAAGAAGGAGGTGTACTGGTTCCACGAGCAGATCCACGTGGAGGAGTACCCGTGGGCATTCAAGAATGGGGATCCCAAGCGGAGGATTGCGGCTCTGAAGATGCTGGGCACGCTCTTCCTCTGTAACATGATCCTCACGCACCAAGGCCCTCTGTCCTCCCGGGTCCGACTCCCGGTGGGCAGTGACAATCAGGGCAACGTCATGGCGATGCTCAACCTTGGATCCAAGAAGCCCTACACCGCGGCTATCCTGATGGAGCTGGTCTTCCTGCTCCACACCCACGGCTGTTCGCTGGCGGCCAACCACGTGCCCCGGGAATTCAACCAGTGGGCCGATGAGCTGACGCACCCAGATTTCTCTGGGTTCGACCCTTTGCACAGAGTCCCTAAACAGGAACTCTGCGAAAAGTTCATTTTTCTCCCGCGTCTCCTGAATGGAGATGCATTTGATCTTAGCGTGGGCCCACCCATGCTCCCGTGACCGGAGCCGATGGGTGACTCACTTCCCCTGGTGGCAGACCCCCCTGTGGCCTGGGTGTCCCGGGCCCCGGCTCAGGGGCGGGCGCTATCAGTCTGCACACCCGTTCTTCAGTTTTTGAGAGTTTGTGTTGGGTGGCCCATGGGGCCCACCCAGCCGTTGACATCTGACAGGGGAAGATGAGTCCCTGGCACCAACACATTGCTTGGATAAAAGAGTTATCGCTTGCTTGTGTGGTGCCGTTTGGTTAGCTTACATATACCAAGGAAAGAACAACGACCACACATATGTCTGGGCACCAGACAATCGGATTTGCAAGGGATTTTGATCGAACCTACTCAGGTTTTCTTGCAGGGTCCCTTTGTGGAGGGCGAATGATTGTAGCCCGGGTATGGCTGGTTTCGTTTTGGGACGGTTTCCCGAAAGCAATCTGCAAGCCGATGGGGAGGTTTTCCCGATGTTGGGACCAAAATGTCGGGTTGCCACGTCGGTGGAGGCCTTTGGTGCGATGCTTTAAGGGCAAGATGTGGGAATTTGAAGGGCAAGTTGTTGCCCTTCGTGAGAAGCTCAATAAGATGTGAGGTCGGCATTTGCCCGCCAAAGCGCGGAATTGGGTTGGTCTCCACTTCAAAGCCACACCGGAAATCCTCAAAGAATGATATCTATCTTTATCCTCAATGGACCTGCAAACCAGGACTGCAGCAAAGTATCCAGTAGTTTTGGGCTTCTGCAGACACATCCTCCGCGTCTTGACCGAGAAAATCTTCAAGTCTCACAGCAAAGGGGTTGCCGAGGTTCTCGCCAAGAGAGCCTCGATCCTGTGAACAGCTTGCCCAAGCCTTGGCTGCCCGGGCTTGGGCCATTGGGAGGAGGGGAACCATTGGGGAACCTGGGCTGCGATCCGCTGGGGTTTCCAGCATGCAGAACAAGCAAGTCTTCACCACTCTCTAGGGCCTTTTTGGGGTTGACATGGCCATGGGGCAGAACCTATGGCTCCATTTTAGCGTGGATGAACATCCATTTGCCACCTATTTTGATGTTCACCAGGGGTACAGGGTTTTGACCCACAGCCACATTGGGAAAAATCAACAGTTGGAACGGCAGCAACAAGCCTTTCGATGTCGCCGAGGTGTCCGCGCAATGGCCTTGGGTTTGGCGGACGGCCTCTTTTTTCTGGTCGCCCTGGGGTGTCCCGCGGCGGTGATCGTGGGGATGCTGGGGCCCGTGCAGGGCGGCGGCATGAAGTTGGACACGGCCTTCACCTGGCATCCCATTCTGATGTGTCCTGGCTGTTTGGATCTGTTTTATAAAAGGGGGTCCAAACCAGGATCATGGGGGGGGGGTCGGAGTTTTCGGGTTTGCATGTAACTTTATATACATATATATATATATATATATACATATGTATGCTAGCATCAATCATTGTTTCCTTTCTTCTTCCGACGTTTGCTCCTGCACCCTCAAACTACCCTTTAAGATGGGACATTGCTCAATATCCCCATCATTCAGGGTATTTTGAAGGTCCATTAAGCCTCTTAGTTTCCCCCTTCCTTCTCTTGGTTCTTGTTTCTACCGAAAGCTCACCTTTTACTTCTTGATTTTTCCAGACATGGGGCGCACGCGCGGACAGAGGTCCATCGCCTTCTCTTGCTTCATGGTGCTGGGTCGCTGGGCCTATGTCACTGACTCCCTGGGCGACAAGGCGCTGGCGGTTGGGTGCTGCCTACTCCTCGAGGGGTAACATTAGCTCATCAGGATTTTGGGATGCCTTATTTCAGGTTTTGGAACTCTTGTATATACTTTTTTAAGTACCTAATTTGTTTCTCTTTCTCTCTCTCTCTCTCTTTATCTCTCGCTCTCTCTTTTTATCTCTCTCTCTCTGTCTTTCTCAGGCCAAGCAGCGCCCCGTGCACCGAGCTCTGATGGTGCTAGCGGCCCTCTTTGCCATCGGAGGCTACGTGGCCATCTTCCTGGCCCACCGGAAGATCCCGTCCTTCTTCGGGTACAACTTCAAGACCCACAAGCGCCTCGCTGGGTTTCAGCCGGGCTGGGTTGGGTGTTTGGGTTGGTTGGGTTGGTCGGATTGGGTGATTGGGTTTGGTTGTGGCTTGTTTAGACAGCAGTCCGACAGTTGGTTTGCAGTTGAGCGAAAGTAGATTGCAGAAAGTTACCACGTCGGTTTGTTTCGCGGTGTAAACCGCAGTCCTGGGTGCCTTTCCAGGGAACCAAAGAGTGGCGTCTAAAGAATGGTACGATGCTGAAAGGGGTTGGCCCAGCTTGGAAAAGCAACAAACGTGACTAA